GGTCGGCGGCGACGTGCCGGCCGATGACGACGTAGAACTCGTCCGCGGCTCGTGCATCGGCGCTGGGGGGATGGGCACCGTCGGTGGCGGCGCGGGGGGCGGCAGCTTCGTGGGCGATATTATGCCATTCGTGCGGATGCCCCGGTCCAAGCCCTGCCGCTGCCCAGGCGACGGACTCCGCACAATCTGAGACTGCAGCTCACGAAGCATCGCATCCTGCTTGTTCTTCTCGGCTTGCAGATTGTCCATCTCGTCCTTCGTACGCTGCAGATTCTCCTGCATCTCCGCAATCACAGAGCGATGCTTCTCCAGCTCATCAACCAAGGACTCGCGTTTCGACGCCTCTCTGACAAGGTCGGAAGTCTTGCTACGCGTGTCCTGGAGCTCTTGCCGCAGCTGAGCCACTTCGGCAGCGAGCGCGTCTCGCTCGTCTTGTGAACTATTGAGCTGTTGATGCAAAAGCCCAATCACATCGGTTTTCTGCTGTAATGCCTCCTCGTGTGCGTGTCTAGCTTCCTCTCGCGCTAGGACGTACTCATCGGACGCAGCCTTGTAGGACTCAAGCTCCTCAATGAGCAGGCCGTGGTTCTGCTGCAGACCTTGCACCTCATCGTCCCGCTCCTTCTGCATCTCGCCCAGCAGCATGTCATGGTCCCTGTGCAAGATCTCGACCTCCTCGGCGTGCTGCTTTTCCAACTCCGCGATCGAAGCACTGATACGATCTTTCTCCTCGGCGAGGACCTGTTCCGCGCGTGCTCGAGACTCTTCGAGATCCTGTCGGTGCCGCTCCTCGACGGCTGTCAGTTCTGCCTGGGCATTCGCGAGTGCAGCCTGGTGTTCAGCCTTTTGACGTGCAATCTCTTCCGCGTGGGCCATGATAAGCGTCGACCGCTCATTCTCCGCTTTCCCTTCGAGAGTCGCGACTGCAGTCTTGTGGATTTCTTCCAGACGAGAAATTTCCTCAAAATGGCCTCGTTCAACCTCCTGCAAGATAGCTGCTTGTTGCTCCTTGACTGCCTGAAGTTCAGACTCTAGCCGATTTTGCAGATCGGAGCTTGATGCGGTGAGTTCAGTACGACTCTGCTCTAGCTCGGCGGTCAAACGCGCAATTTCTTGCGAGGATTCCTCGCGCAGTTGTGACAGCGTAGCCGCATGGTCAGCATTCCTCTTCTCCTGGGCGGCACGATATTCGCTGTCTTTGGCGGATAGCACCTGCGCATGCTCGGCCTGTATCTTGGCTAAATCGTCCGCGAATATAGCCTCCTTGACACCGAGGGCTTCCGCATGATTCGCCTTCAGCCGCTCACGCGAGCTACGATGTTGCTCCTCTTTCGCAGCCAGGACTTCTGCATGCTCGTCTTTCAGTTTTTGGAGATCTTCAGAGAACTGCCTCTCCTTCGCGCTGATCGCTGAGGTGTGCTCGTCCTGCAGTTCCTTGATTGCGACATCACGCGCGGACTGGGATTCAGACAACGAGCCGTCACGAGCAATTTCGGCCATCCTCATCTCCCGAACATGCTCGTCGCGAAGGCGTTCGAGGGTGGTGGCTGCCTCCGCCGCTTGCTTCTCGAGAGCGCCGGCATGCTCAGTGCGAAGCTTGGTGAGCGCGTTATAATACTCTTCTTCGGTCTGGTGAAGCGTCGCCGCAGCCTCGTCCTCCTTCCGCTTCAGGACATCTTGGTGCTCCGCAGAGAGCTTAGCTACTGCGTCGTCATGTTCTTTGCGAGTGAGGTCAAGGAGATCATCCACTTCCCGACTACGTCGCGCGAGCTCCTCTTCATGATCCGCTTGCAGCTTTCCAAACGCAGCCTCGTGGTCCTGTCGGACCTTGTCTAGAGCAACCGACGCTTCAGCCAGTTGGTTGCGCAAGTCCATCTGTGTGCCCTCATGCTCATCCTTCATCCGGGCAAGTAGCTGATCAACCTCGGACTCCTTCACACGCATTATGTCTTCGTGTTCCGATTTTAACTTGGCAATCTCGGAAGCATGCTCGGATCGGGCGAGTTCGAGGGACTCCACAAGCTCAGCTTCACGATGTCTCACTTCCTCCAGGGATTCAGCAAGGTCTGATTCACGGAGTTGTGCCTCGGCCAAAGAGTCTACGAGCTCAACCTCACGCCGCTCCAAGATTTGCAACTTCTCAAGATCTTCACTGTGCTTGGCCAAGTCTTCCTCGTGTTTGTTACGGAGCGCCTCAATCTCAGTGGACATATTAAGAGTCTGCACCTCATCATAAGTGAAGATCAGCATTTTACGTCATAACCCACGCACCTGATCGCGAGACAGCACTGTCAGCTCTTCAAACTGTCGACGTACCTGAGACAGTTCGGCGTTGAGTGAATCTGTCACCTCACGATGACTAGACTCCTTTTGTGCCATCGATCTATATTATGCTTCCATTAACGGATGTAAATAGTTCCGACTTTATTAGCGCACCGCATTAACTCATTGAGCCTCTGTAGAGACTCGTCCGCATCAGGCGCTGCAGAACCATTCTCAGAAACTTGTATATGCAAGCTGTGACGAAGTTGCTTGAAGCGACTGAGAGTTTTAGGCGAGAGGTTGAGGCTTGAGTCGGCCCCACTCATCGGTGTCACAGGGATATCAGGGAGAGGTGACGGTTGTGTCAGGTTGGCTAGTGCTGCTGCTCTATCCTTATCCTTCAACGAGGCTTCCAACGTGGAAATTTCCGCTTCACGTTCTTGAAGCACTTCTTGGAGTCGCATGATCTCTGTTTCTAAACTCGCAACCGATCTCTCATTGGTTGCAACGTTTACTGAAGGAAGAGAAATGGAGAGATTGGGTCTAGAATGAGAACGTGACAGAGAAATGGAGCTACTCGTGCCATGACTAGACAAAGACGCGTTGCGCGACCTGGCCGATGATAGCTCCTGTGATAGCGAGACAGACTGCGATAGCGAGCTGATAAACAAAAGAAAATGATTTTAGAATAGGTATCAAATAGTAAAACCCAGCTTAGAACTCACTTGGAATGGAGAGATTCCGTCGATGCGACTTGTCTGAAGAACGGCCGTTTGTGTGTCCCGTTGACCTGGGACTCCGGGCCGTCTCTCGACATTCCTCTTGTCATCCTTCTCCTAGGAGAAAGATCAGTCGGCCGTTCTGGAGACTCGGCAATCGGGGCGTTGACCTTGGCCTCCTGTAGCTGACCCGCTAGATCGGCAATCTCACGCAATGCGTCTCGATACTTCTCAGTAACAGATGATAGGTCCGCCAGAGTTGCAGTATGCGTTTGTTGAAGGGCGACAAGCTGGCTCTCAATCGAGCTGTCGGGTGTGACCGTTACAGGGAGTGAGTCAGTACTTGCACCGTTAAGCTTCATCGCGGGGGCGACCTCTTCAAGGTTTTTGCGCGCTTTGGCTACTTCGCCGACTAGGTCGCCTAATCGTTCCCTGTCTTCAGCCGCCTCAGCCTTCTTCGCCTCCCATTCTTGCATCTTCAACTCCAAGAGTTGTACTTTACGCTCGCGTTCCTCTAGGTCGCTGCGCCAACTCTGCCCGTCACGCATTAGACTCTCAAGACGAGAATGCAGAACCTCAGCCTCTTCCCTCCGACGATCACACTCCTTTTCAAGGGTTTCGATGGTCGCGCGTAATGCAAGCACCGACTCGTCGGAACGGGCAAGACGGGCTTCTAAATCCGTGATATATTGCGAGGAATGACTTTCCGAATCCTTGTATTTGGTGACTTCGCGCCTCAAATCGGTTATCGAACCGCTTGAGCTGACAGAGGTCTCGTCGTATTGTTTAATTTTCTCCTCCAGATCGTGAATATATGCCTAGTGCAGATAATTAACACACTCGTACAACAAAGCAGATGTTCTGAACCCTCACCTCGTTGGAGGATTCACGTTCCGCTAGCTTTGCCACCCGAGACTTGAGCTCCTCCACGTATAACTCGATCGTCGAATGTCTTTCCGAGAGCTCCGTGTACTCCATCTCCTTCTCCTCGTAAAGATCATTCGTATGTCGCAGTGCCGCTCGGTTGAGGTTAAGCTCTGCCTCCATTGCACTAATAGTCTTTTCGTACTCTTCGATGACAGGGCCGACTATTTCCTCGTATTTCGCAGTCCCACCAATATGCCCACCTTTGGAACTTCGCTCCTTATCTGCGAGCTCTCTACGAAGCCGAGTGAGTTCTTCTGTTCGCTCGACAAACTTTCCGCGCAGATCTTCGTAGTTGTTCTGCAGTTCTGTCATCTGCCCCAGCACTTTCTTGCCCGCGCCCTCCAGGATATCTGTGGATCCAGAGAGCGTGCCAAGTGCTGATGCTCCACCCTCCTTGAGAGCCTTCAGCTCCTTACGGAGACGCGTCACAGTACCCTGCAGCCACTCAAGGTCGTCCCATCCCTCCTCCTTCTCGTTGACCACCGCACGATTCTTAATATTTCGCGCCCTATTAGCATATTTCAGGGTGTTGATTGTTTCCCCTATGTTCCACTCTGTTGGGCTGACACACGCAATCATCAGCGTGTGAGCATTGCCGCCCAACGAATCTTGGAGTAATCGCGTAAGCTTCGAATCGCGGTAGGGGATATACGACGCGGTGTGTGATTTGGCGCGAGCGGGATCGCCGAGGGCCGAGATAACGTTGCCAAGGGCGAGTAGACCGCTGTTAATAGAAATACCCTCCTTTATTCGATCGCCAGCAGCAGCTGTGCGTTTCAGCTAAAAATCAGGCAAAGCAATCAATACCGCTATATGCCAAGTAGCATACTGCAATACCCACCCGTTCAGAGCCAGCTAGATCAACGAAGTGGAATTTCGAAACAATCGTGGTCCATTCTCCTTCTCCATCATCGGAGGTATTCTGTGCAGCGACTCTTCCACCGTCAGGCGATAATAGACCGAGTGAGCTGGCTGGTCTCCCTCCTCGACTCATCGCTGCATGAAAACTTGGGGTTGCTGGTCTGCCAAACGTAGGAGACGACACTCTGACTTGGGGAGTGCTGATAAGAGTAGAACCAGGTCGAGCAATCCGAGATGGTGGACGGCCACCTGGTGGTAATGGAGATGATGATCGAGGTGGTGGTTTACTACCGGTGAACTTCTTCTGTATCAACGTCAAAGAGAAAATAGCATGCGACCGTGATGACTGAGCATTCATGTCCGTCTCATTCGTCCGTCTAATAGCAGTGCCTTGACGAATGAGGCTGGAGGAATATCAATACTGGCAGTCAGAGGAAGCGAAAGATGATACTTACTTCATAACCTCGTTTGGACCCCTCACGTTGACCTCGCGCAACCCCTCCCAGATGATATGACCTTGCTTATCTTCGCGGATTTGGACCTCACGCTTAGCCATACCGTCGTCCATATTGAGGAGGTCGATGAGATCTTCGTTGTAAATTTCAATGAACGAGCCCTTCAAGCTGCACTTCCAGGCTTCCCCTCTCTCTTGTTTAAGTTCTTTACAACGCGAAAATATGCTGGAGACTGCCCTAGGGATGATGCCTATGCCATTTGAAGGGTCGTTGGGATCAGCATCCAGATCTATACCAGTCATAGTGAACGTCTTTCCACTGCTGGTTTGGCCGTATGCAAGGATGGTGCAGTTAAATCCCTCAATAAAACGGGATATGAGTGGTTGGGCAGTCGATGTGAAGAGGGCATGCTGGGTTGTCGCTGGAGGATGCACCTGGTCGAAGGTAAAGAGCTGCTTTTTGCTTGCGCCGGCAATAGGTGTGAGGGCGGCCGACCCAGAGCCGGAGGCAGTGGCCTCTACAGAGACAGTGGTAGATGATGCAGCGCTAATGACTGACCGTTGAAAACGAGCGGGAATGGAACTGGTGTCCTGTGTCGTGGTGGGTCGGATTCGTAGGGCTGGGGGGACACATGAGAGTTCGACATTGTGAAGCGCTGAGGAACTGGCACTCACCGACTTGGACAGATGTCGTCGCAGCGGTTGATGATGGTGGCGAGGGCGCCATGAGGGGCGGGCGTCGTCGAGAACGATGTCTACGACGAGCTCGTGGCGAGAGTGATGGAAAACAACGACGTTCGCGAGCGGATGCGCCCGTTGCGAAGCGGGGTCTGTCACGCTGTTGATGGATTAGAAAGCATCTTGTTACATGATTAGAAAACACGTTGTTACTGTTTCTATGACCCTCATCAGACGCTTTAAACCAATTGAAGCAAGTCTTTCTTGCACACACTGACGCAAATGGATCCGGAACTACGTATACATATGCATGTCGGATCACGCATTGCGAGCTTCGGATGCTCAAGCACACACCTACCAGTCCAATTTTGAGAACCGCGCAAGTCAAGTAAACTGCGAACCCTCCACGATCAAACTTCAAGCATCTTGCGCGCAGAACAACGTTACTGAACATGTTGCCACTTGCGGCCCAGGCAACAGATACGTCGCATACGTGATAAACAACATATAGAACCTATAGACTAGGCATTGCCACCACCATACCGCAACTTGCCTGCAACATGATGATTACATGCATGTGGATAGCGAGTAACGAACAGTTCTTCCAATAAATGCGAGAAAGGCAAATAGTCTCATCGTCTCATGTGTAGAAAGTGATGCTGTAGGGAGAAAATAATGAAGGATAACGATAATGTAGGCGTTGAAATCAACTAGACAGAGTCTGTAAATTCACATTGCTGGCACAATGCCCCGAAATACTGAAATAAAACATCCTGACTTCCCCGTGATGGGATCCTTCGCGTCTTCGTCGATCAAAAATCCACACCGTTTGTAGATTCTTTCAACAGCAGGATCTGCAACTTGTAAGCACACTTGTGTCTTGGGCATATCGGGCACCCCATCGCCAGCAGAATCTGTATTCAGATAGAAGGCAGTTGTAGCATGTACCAGAGCCTCCGCAATGCCCCTACGTCGATAATCCGGAAGCACAAAGACGTTTCGTATGGCAACCGTGCGGGGTGTGATGCGTCCAACAAGCGCATATCCAGCTATAGCCTCCCCGAGACGGCAGACCCATAAGCGTTTAGACTGAATGGCCTCGCGCATGACGTGTCGTGCACCTTCTGACGTCGTGGGGTTAGGCCCATGTTTCGAGAACTCCATTGCAAGGGGAATAAGGTGTTCCGCCTGGTCCATGTCTACCACAAGGCCAATGTTATCCGCGAATAGAGTGGGCTGCGATTGTGGTATAGTTGATCGTGTCGCATAACATGCACGAACGGTGAATGTAGCCGTGGGGGACTGCAAGGCAACATGCTTGCTCGCCATGAAAGCGATCCACGCATCGATGAATGCATCGACGATGTCCTTTAGTCCCACAATTTTATCGACAGTGTTCGGGTCGACTACCGTTGGAAGGAAGGTAACGAGGAGCTCCATGGTTTCAATTATCCGTTCCTTTAGCTTTAAGGGATCGACATCGCTGGGCGCTGACAGCATCCATGGTATGCGCGCTGCCGATTTGGTTAGCGTAACCCTGCGAGCTCGTCAGACCTAATTATGCTATGCTTTTCAAGAAGCTCACAGGAGATCATTATCCATGTAAATACCTAACAAAACCCTAGAATGATCACCCCAGCGCTCCTGCGACACAGCTTGACTTCGATCTAAGTTGTCAAGAAGCGATCCCAGTGCAAAATTCATGGCATGGTCGTCGTGAGGTCGAAGGGCCTCGATAAAGTCGGCTTCATTCTCGAAATGAAGTAGTCGAAGGGAGGACATGATGGGTGGTACGCTCGCCCAACATCTCATCCACCCTCTTTAACTGATTCTTGGAAAGATCGAGTCAGTCAAGCTAGCGACTGACTCATTCTCAGACCTTGACAAATTTAACATCCTCTATCTACCATGGTTATCTGTTGGTTATATGTCCGATACGCTGAGCGCCCGAGATGAGACACTCAATATCCGTGCGCCTGTAAGCAATTGCAAGCAACAAGGGAGTGGGTATACTGTCCAGCATTCGTTTGGTGAGACCCAGAACATGCAAGATGAAGCATCAATCATGATACGTAGAACAATGTTGTGGGTTTCCGTGCGTGATGTGAGGATACCAGCAGTCCATCGAGCTCACAGAATCTGAAGATGACAGCTTCCCAAGGCTCAACGATCTTTCCCAGTATCACAGTGCGCCAAGCTAAGATCAGCTTCAGCGTTATAACCAGGGAGACAAGGCGATGAGCAAAGCAGGGAAATGAGCCATGTGTGGCTTTGGAAGAGGAGGAATATGGCGCCCACAGTGCGGAATCCAGCCAAACCGATCTGAGGCGCCGGAAGCGAGCCGATTGCATCGATTCGCATCCGCAGTGCTGCATACATTGCCAACCTTCGTCTCATCTCGCTTACAACCAGCCACCTTCGATTTCAGTTGCAGTTGTAGACTGCTAGTCCTCTGCAATTATAATGGCACCTCCGGAAGTCTATTCTCTTGCCCAGACACAAACATCCATAAGTTCTCATGCTTTCAATGCGGACAACACTGGCAAGTAGCGTTACGTCAATACTCGCTGCCCCACTCACTGTTTCATATATTCGCAGAGGTGGCAGTGAGCTTGAACTCAAACGATGTGCAGATTTTTGCCCGTCAAGGTAGTGAGTGGAAGCAGACGGAGACTCTGGCTGAAGTGTGTTCTATCGCCGCGGTCTGATCTCCTCACATGCTCACGGCATAATCCAACGCTACAGCACGACAAACTTATTACCTCGATTGACTGGGCTCCCAAGTCCAACCGCATTGTCACTTCTGCTCAGGACAGAAATGCCTATGTTTGGCAGCAGAGTCCCGACTCACAGACGGGACGTATGATCTGGAAGCCGACTCTAGTGCTGCTAAGGATCAATCGAGCTGCCACTCATGTGCGATGGAGTCCGAACGAAGATAAATTCGCAGTCGCCAGTGGTGCACGGTGAGAGCCATCATATACTTCGTTTGCATCTTGCTCATTTCTCAAAAGTGCTATCGCCATCTGCTCTTTTGACCCTGAGGGTGACTGGTGGGTCTCCAGGCTACTCAAGAAGCCCATCAGATCGACTGTACTCGCTGTGGACTGGCATCCGAACAACGTGTTACTCGCTGCTGGTAGTGCCGACATGAAGGCACGCGTATTTTCCGCGTATATCAAGGACGTTGATAAAAGGTGAAGGATTCAAGTCTCCATATAAGAAAGATTAAAGCATGATCGCTGAGACTCTCAAAGGCCAGCAGCGAGTGTTTGGGGAGAGAAGCTCCCATTCAACACCATCTGTGGCGAGTACACTAGCCCCACTGGTGGTTGGGTACACGCAGTCGGATTCTCTCCCTCCGGAGATGTCCTCGCATTTGCAAGTGAGTCCATTAGATTTCCTGAGGCGTACTCCGATGCTGATTTGTATAGGCCACGACAGTTCTATCACCGTCGTCTATCCCGGTGGCCCTGCAAGCTTTACGATTAAGCTCCCCAGCCTCCCATTGCTGACCTTGACCTGGACGAACGAGAACTCACTTATCGCAGCGGGTCATGACTGTCAGCCGTTAGTCTTTTCTGGAAGCGAGGCAGGTTGGGGAATCACAGGCAGTCTGGATGATCCAAACGCCGCCAAATCCTCGGGTAGCTCCCGCTCCGGCTTTGCTAGTGCGTCTCCCGTAGGGAGGCTCAACAGCGCCGCATTCAATACCTTCCGCAATGCC